CGTAAAGATCTTCCACCGCTGCTGTTGATCTTCCACCGCTGCTGCTGCCGGCATTGTCACCTTCTCCCATCCAACCTTCCCTGCCGGCGCCGACCACACTCAGCATCACCGGCGTTCTTCTTCTTCTCCCCGTCGACCAAACTCAGCATCACCTACTGCCGCCGCTGCCCCCTTCTTCGCCGCCGCTGCTGCAGCTGTCTTTCTGCTACTGCCCGCGTGTATTCGTCGGCGTGTGTTCGTCGTCGTCGGCGTTGAATCCGTTCCATCGTCGGTCGCATCCTCCGTGCTGCTGCCGTGGTCGTTCCTCATCTCCGTTCCTCATCGTCGTCGTCGTCGTCGTCGTCGTTCCTCATCGTCGTCGTCGTCGTTCCTCATCGTCGTCGTCGTCGTCGGTCTCCGTTTTTTGGCCGATTGTTGCTGCCGTTGATTGTTGCTGCTGTTAAATAAAAAAAAAAAAAAAAAAAAAAAAAAACAAAAAAAAAAAAAATCAAAAAAAAATCAAAAAAAAAAATCATCATAAAGAATTCTGTTTTGCTTGCTTACTTTCAACGATGACTATCACCGACCTTTCATCCGCCGACTGTGCTACTCATCTTCTGGTCACCGGTATCTTCTTCACAGCATCGTATCAATTCTTCAACCTAGTATGCAATCTCTCAATCATTCCTTTACCGTGAAGCTCGCAATCGCGGCCAACTATTCGTCTTGGCGTCTTCAATTTACTCCTTTATTGACTATGTTTCGTGTTGCCGGTATTGTCGACGGCACCGAACCTGCACCACCACGTTTTCTTCCTTCCGTTAGTGGTGCCGTGCCCCAACTCAATCCTGAGTTTGATATCTGGCAGCAAAAGGATCAGTTGGTCCTCTCTTGGATTCTTTCTTCCGTTGCTGAAGAGATTTTTCCCGTTCTCCAGGGCTGCACAACATCGGAGGCTGCATGGACAGCTCTTCCACAGGTTTCGGCACTCTTTCTTATGCTCAACAGACCCGACTTGTTATGGAGCTCCACACTTGCAAAAGGTGACTTGTCGGTCACGGCTCTCCTCTCCAAAGCGAAGGGCATCGCGATACACTGCAGCTTGCCGGCCATCGCATATCTCTCTGTGGAGTTTAATGCCATAATCTTCCGCAAGCTTGGTGCCGAATTCAATGGCATCATCGGAGCTCGCAACAGCCGATCCGAACCCCCTCCTATCAAGATCTCCTTGGACAGTTAGTTTCATATGAGGTGCTTCTTCACGCTCAATGCCGGTCCTTCACCCACGACCATGCTTGTGCAGCCGCCACCCTCTCCTACGCCGCCTCAATCCTCTCGTGCCGGTCGCCGCAACGCGGCGGCCGGCGCAATCAGTTTCGGTCGTGGTGGTGGTCGGCGTGGTTACACCCTCCCGCTCCGGTGAGACGTGTCGCTTTGCGGCATCTTGAATCACACGGCCGCCACTTGTCGACGCCGTTTTGATACTAACTTTGTTCCTCGACCCCCGCCGTTCGGTCGGCCGCTTATGCCAGCAGTTCCCCGCACCGCCTTCACCTGGTTTGTTGCCTCTTCCGTCTTACCCGGAGGCGACTATGTCTTCTCAAGCTCATATGGCGCAAGATGCACCTTCCGTCACTCCCGGCATCCGACACCGGTGCTACCGATCATGTCACGCGCATTTGTCCTCTCTCGTATCTCCAATGATTATACTGGTACGGACCATATTTTAGTTGGTAATGGAGATGCTTTACCTATTCAGCATGTTGGTCAACTGCTTTGCCATCGTTTTCGTCCTCTTTATTTAAATCGTGTCTTGCATGCTCCTTCTCTTACTAAACCTCGTTATCTGTTCAAAAGTTTACCCGTGATAATCACTGTTTCTTTGAATTTTATTCGACTCTTGTTGTGTTAAGGATCTTTCAACCAAGGAACTCCTCCTCCACGGTCGGCCGATAAGGGTCTCTATCGCTTAGATCTTCCCGCTCGTGGTTCCTTGTCTCCAGCAGCCTTATCTTGTCTCTTTAGGTCGCTGGCATGCCCGTTTAGGGCACCCTAATAATGTCACTCTTCGTACTTTGGTTAGGCAATTTCAACTTCCTTACTCCTCTCGTGTCCACGTCCACCGATAAATGTGAGGCGTGTTGTTTAGGAAGTTACATAGGGTCGGTTACCTTCTACATTTCATCGTAGCTCTAAACCTCTTGATTTAATTCACACTGATGTTTGGGGTCCTGCTCCTATTTTGTCATTCAATGGTTATCGCTACTTTGTGCTTTTTATTGATGACTTCTCTTTATTCACATGGATTTATCCAATTAAGTATAAAAGTGATGTTGTCCATGTTTTCAAGCAATTCAAAGCTCTCGTAGAAAACCAATTTGGCACTACCATTAAAAGTGTTAACTCCGATTGGGGTGGTGAATTTCGTTCTCTCAATTCTTTCTTTAAGGATGCTGGTATTGTTCATCGTTTAGCGTGCCCACACACTCATGAGCGAATGGCACCGCTGAACGCAAAATTCGTCACATTGTCGACATTGGACTTGCTCTCCTTGGCCATTCCAGTACCCTTTTCGGTTTTGGGAGTTTGCTTTGAAACCGCTGTGTTTTTGATTAATCGCCACCCTAGTAAACCTCTTCAAGGTCACCTCCCTTCACTACACTATATCACCACCACCGATTATACCTTTCTTCGTGTCTTTGGTTGCGCTGTCTATCCTCTTCTTCGCCCTTATAATAAACATAAATTCTCCTTTCGTTCTACTCGGTGTGTCTTTCTTGGGTATTCTCCATCTCATCTTGGTTATCGCTGTTTTGATGTGGTGAATAACCGTCTTTATGTTGCTCGTCACGTTGAGTTTGATGAGAAACTCTTTCCCTTTAAACTTCCTATTTCTAGTTCTCCTTCTTCACTGCTGGAGTCTTCGCTACCCCTTGGTTGCGTGTAACCAGCTTCTCCGGTATACTTGCGTCGTCTTCTGCGTCTTCTTCGTCTCCTTATAGTACACCCGTTCTTTCGTCTCCTCCTATCCCTCCCGACTCATCACCTTTAGCTAGATCTCCCGCATCCAGCCCTTCATCATCTCGGACCGCAGTCCTCCGCCGCCACCTCCTCCTCCTTCTTCCCGTCAAGACTCAATGACACTTCGTCCACAACCCAAGCCCAAGAAAATTTTTGATCCCTCGGCTCATCTTACCTCTGTTTCCCCAGCCTTGTCCACTGCTCCTACATCCTTCACCCAAGCCAAATCTCTTCCTCAGTGGCAGAATGCCATGAAGGATGAAATTTCCGCCCTCCTCAAAAATAACACATGGACTTTAGTTCCCCTCCTTCCTCCGGCAATGTTGTCGGTAATCGATGGCTCTATAAGATTAAAACTCATGCCGATGGCTCTATTGAGCGGTATAAGGCTCGGTTGGTGGCTCGAGGTTTTACTCAGTCTTTTGGGGTTGATTACACTGACACTTTTAGTCCAGGTTGTTAAGCCGGTCACCATTCGTTCCGTTTTGACTGTTGCCCGGCACGTGGATGGTCGATTTCTCGGCTTGATGTCGTAATGCCTTTCTTAATGGTGTTCTCGGTGAGACCGTGTATATGGTTCAGCCACGGGGTTTGTTGATCCGGTGCGCCCTCATTATGTGTGTAAACTGCATAAGTCCTTGTATGGTCTTAAGCAAGCTCCTCGGGCCTGGTATTCTCGGTTGGCAGCATTTCTACTTACCTTGGGTTTTGTGGAGTCTCGTTGTGATCCGTCTCTTTTTGTCTATCGCCGTGGGTCGCAGTTGTGTTTTTTACTGGTCTATGTGGATGACATTATTCTTACAGCAAAGACTTCGGTTTGGTTCAGCATTTTATCTCTTGTCTTGCTAAGGAGTTTTCTCTTCGGGATTTAGGTCCATTGAGTTACTTTCTTGGGGTTGAGGTTCGTCGTACTTCCAAAGGTTTGCTTCTCTCTCAGCGCAAGTATGTCACTGATTTGCTACGACTTGCAAATATGCATACTTGCAAACCTGTTTCCACTCCTTTGCAGGCTAATGTTGTGTTATCCCGTTTGGATGGTACTCTGTTGTCTCCTGATGATGCGACTACTTATCGTCGGTTGTGTGGCAGTCTGCAGTATACCACTCTCACTCGTCCAGATATGTCCTTTGCGGTTAATAAGCTTTGTCAGTTTATGCATCACCTCGCACTTCTCATTTTCGTGCTCTCAAACGGGTTCTTCGCTATCTTCGTGGTACCATTGATTTCTGTTTAGTTCTGCATCCTACAGATTTGGGTACTCTTACTGCGTTTAGTGATGCTGACTGGGCTGGTTGTCCGGATGATCGTCGTTCTACTACTGGTTTTCTCATTTATTTGGGACCTAATCTCATTGCTCGGGCATCTAGGAAGCAGCCCACCGTGGCTCGCTCGTCTACCGAGGCCGAGTTTCGTGCGGTTGCTAATGTCGTGTTGAACTGCATTGGGTGTGTCATCTGTTGTCCGAGTTAGGCGTTTCTTTAAATCGCTCTCCTCTATTTAGTGTGACAACAAGAGTGCGGTTTTCCTTCTTTGTGAATCCTGTGTTCCATGCTCGTACACGACATGTTGAGGTTGATTTTCACTTTGTTCGAGATCATGTTCGGCGTAAGTTTGTTTTGGTCAATTCTATCTCTGCTGCTGATCACTTGCGATATTCGACAAAACCCTTGTCCAAAGAGTTATTCTTTCGATTTCGGGACAAACTTCGGCTTCTCTCTTCTCCGCCGTGAGTTTGCGGGGGCGTATTGTAATATTTAGTATATTTCCTATTATAGGGTTTGTTATTGTCTATATATAGTCTGTATATTGTGCACAACACATTATGAATTCAATACAATTTCCCTATTCTAAGTGCCGTCATAGCTCTTCTATACCGCCACGTCATCTCAATGATCACACAGTCCAAAACCGTGTCATCCATCTCCATCTCCATTTCCATGTTCATCGCCGACCTCGTACTCGCTTTCATGTGGTTCACTTCTCAATCCTGTCGGATGAAAATGATTGTTCGCGAAGTTCACTTAGAAAACCTTGAAAAAGTAATCACTTCCGGGGAGAGTTTCATGGCGTATGACTATCCGCCGGAAACGTTATCGGTTTATGTATCGGACGACGGTGGATCGGAGTTAACTTTGTTTGCTTTCATGGAGGCTGCCAAATTTGGAAGGTTTTGGTTGCCGCTTTGCAAGGAATATAATATTATGGACCGATGCCCAGATGCTTATTTCAAGTCCAATTATTCTGCTAATTCTGATGCTCAAAATATTAGTAACGTAAGTACGATGAAATTGATTTAATTTTTCTTCCATTCGACTAGAGTTTTTCAGAACAACGGTTAAGTTTAATGTTAGTAGTTTTTGGTTTAAATTTTGCGATTATTAATTGGTTAATCACCCAAAACAAAACATATTTTCTCCCGAAGAAATTATTCACCTAGCAGTCTAGCACTCAACTAAGTACTTCGTCCTTTTTACAATTCTGTTACATTTTTTTCCCCGATTACGTCCAAATACTAGCTCCGTCCCAAACATAAATTAAATTGTGTTACGGCTTGTAAAATGTAAATATAGGATGGAGTATACAAGACAACTAAACCACTAGCAAAAATGTCTGTGTCATATATTAATATCATCATTCGAAAACCAAGATTGTCTGGTTGATAGCCATCACATTGGGAAAAGGGAGCATACAAACAAAATATGACTTATGTTAACAATTAAATATTGGATAGTATTTATTTGTGGGCGAAGAAAAATACAAAGTGCGACAACACTGCGATAGGCAAAGACTATTTGGACAACAAAAGTCAAATGTAATTATCGTCCTATTTTTTTCTTCTGCTTTCCGTCCCAATTATTAGCCACCGTAATTGGATGAGCACATTACTGGTTTCTATGCAATTTCTAGACTCCAACAGTGTTATAAAAGAAATTTTGTTAATTCGGCCGACTAAATGGTTCAACCATTCGTTCAAAGACTATATTATCACACAAATACATGAGATTTGTGATTCAGTTGTTTAAAATCTTGACTGAAGTACTGACGGGTATAGTGCGGTTCATATAAGATTTTCAAATAATTTATGAAGAATATAATTTTGCATATGTTTAATCTATTAATTATATCAGGAAATTACTTTGATTAATTAATTTGTCAGTCAGAATTAAATCCTTTATTTTTTTTGTCATACTTGTACAAGTACAACCATATCCATAGGAGATGTATGAAAACATGAAGGAGAAAATAGAAAACGTGGTGGAGACAGGAAATGTGACAGATGAAGACCTTTCAAGCGAGGAAGAACTGGAGGCCTTTAGCAAATGGAAACGAGGAATCTTCACTCCTCAGCAGCATCCCTCTGTCATTCAGGTAGTATCTTATTTTATTTAACACTCCTTTCAAATAATCGAATCAAAACTCATTTCAGATTTGAACAGCTATCAAGTAAGTGAAATCGTGCATCAGTCGTGGATTTTATTTTTTTTAAAATTTTTTATAAAAAAGAAACATTGGTACTGAATATGTTTGACGATAGTAGAAATTAAATGTATAGTAAATTAAATTACAATTTGGTCAGGTTTTGTTGGAAAGTGACAAGGACAAAGACACCGCAGGAAATCCAATGCCCAATTTGATTTACGTCTCTCGGGAGAAAAGTAAGGCCTCGCCGCATAATTTTAATTCCGGCGCCCTAAACACATTGGTAAGTTTTCTTTAGATTAATAGAGAAAAAAAAAAGAAAAGAAAGAAAGGCATTTCTCATAACCAATGCTTTGCGGCATATAAGATTCCATTTTAGAAGATTGCAATTGATATTGGGAATAAACGTGTATTTCATGTTTGCAAGTCGAATATTTGAAAACAAAACAAGTTATAACATATATATATATATAACTCGTTTCAAATGCATTTTCATAAATCTCAATTTCGTTTCCACTTTCATTAGTAAAAAATTTTCGGGTTCGGAAAGAAAGATAAAAGTTTAATTATTAGCATAATCTCTGTAATTTTTTTTTTTTTACAGATTCGAGTGTCGGCAGTAATGACAAACGCACCAATTATACTGACTCTGGATTGTGACATGTTCTCTAATGATCCCAAAACGGTCGAAAGAGTGATATGTTTCATGATGGATCCTCCTTATCAACCTAAGTTGGGCTACATACAATTTCCCCAAATGTATCAAGGGTTAAACAAGGCCGACATATATGCAGCGGAGTTTAAGCAGCCGATTCAAATTAATGCGATGGGCATGGATGGTCTTCGAGGCCCAAATCACGTCGGCACAGGATGCTTCTTCAATCGACGAGTTTTCTTTAGCGGGCCATCATCCCTTGTTCAACCAGAAATGCCTGAACTTAGACCAGATTACACTCACAGGAAGAATATGGCACATCAGGTATCTGGGTGCAACTATGAAAACCAGAGTAATTGGGGTTCAAAGGTGAGCATTTGAAGAATTTAATTGTTCCTTACATCTTATTTTTACGTAACATTCAGAAGAATATAACGATAATGACTATCTCTGTCTCACAAAAATAGTCCACATTAAATTTTGAAACTGGATATTAATATGTGTACAAAAAATCTCTCTCCTTTCTTCTGGGGGCGAAAACGCCTTCACTGTGTGTAACCGCAATTGATCATCATCACGCTTTGGAGATCCGCCATGGCTCGGGGATCAAAGAAGCGAGCTGAGAGCAGAAATAAGGAAGTGGAAACAACTAGAGAGGAGGCAGGAAGTTCACTGGTGAAAAAGCAAATTTCATCGGGTAAAGGTATGATTAGCTTGAATCCGAAGGCAGTTGAATTGGACATAGATCTGGCTAATTCAAGTGTTAAGAAGGTAGTAGAAGTAGGAGAGAGTTTAAAATCGAAGGAAACTGAGCAGGGAATTCAGCTTGATCGGAATTGCTGGGATAAATTTGATCCCAAAAAATTACGATTGCCGGAAAAGAAACTTCGATTTGTTGAACCAACTGTTGTTAATGATCGTATGTTCTGCCGTATTGAGAAGGAAGAGGTGGAGCAGGAGGTGGAGTACTGGAAGAATTCTGTGATGTGTTATGTTCTTGGTGCAAAACCGCCATATCCGGTTGTCAATGGATATATCAGAAGGAATTGGGGCAGATTGGGAATAGAAAAGGTGATAATGCTTGACAGTGGTGTTTTTGTGGTTAAATTTGCAACGAATGCTGCCAAAGAGGAAATGCTCCGACAGAATATCTATCATTTTGATGGAAGACCTTTCATAACAAAAGAATGGTCAGTTACAACTGACATCAATTAGGACGAAATAAGGACTGTGCCTGTATGGATACAGCTTCCAAAACTTAAACTGCGGTATTGGAATGGAGAAACGTTGAGCAAATTGACTAGCATGATTGGAACACCTTTGGAAATGGATGACATGACATCTCAGAAAAACAGAACAGCTTATGCAAGGGTCCTAGTAGAGGTTGAAATTAAGGAGAAACTGACACAGGAAGTATGGTTTGAGGATGAATGGGGAAATCTGCAAGAGCAAAAAATTGTCTATGAATGGAAGCCAGTTCGATGTGGAAGGTGTAAAGGATTTGGGCATGGAACTACTGAGTGTAGAACTCCACCAGAGCATAAGTGGATGCAGGCAGTGGCAAAGAATCCTAATAAAACAGTGGTGCAGGAAGATGATAGCAAAATTGTAGAAGTCATACCTGAGGCTGCTAAACCAGTGGCAATCAATGTCTCTCCAAAATGCACAGGAAGCATATCTCAAAGTAAGCAGTTTTAACCCAAAAGTCCTATAGGCAATAAAGTGCACGAAATTGATGAATCTATTAGAATCATGAACCATAAAGGGCTAAAGATACCAGAAGGAAGAAATGGTGGTAAATTGAGTTCCATTAATAAGATTTGCTTTGATACTAGTAACCCTAATATAGGGCCTAGTTATCATGAGTAATATCTTATCCTGGAATGTAAGAGGGCTAAATAGCCCTCTGAAACACAGGGAGGTAGGTCACTGCCTGTCTGTTAATAGGGTTGGTGTAGCAGGTCTTCTAGAAACTAAACTAAAAAGGACTAAAGTAGAAGAATTGATGAAATGGAAATGGTATCAGTATCACTATATTGCTAATCATATTGGTGAAGAAAAATGCAGCATTCTAGTTATATGGAAGAAGGGGGAAATAGATAAACAGTGGAAAAAATCACAAAGCAAGTAGTACATTGTCAAGTGAAAGAAATCCAGAGTAAAAGGAGATATTATCTCATTGTAGTTTATGCTGACTATTTGGCACAAGGGAGAATGCAACTTTGGGAAGAATTGGCAGAAATAGCTGGGAATATAACTGAGGCTTGGTTAATCATGGGGGATTTTAATTGTGTCTTGCACAATGATGAAAGAATAGGAGGAGTAAATGATGCAAATGTTGACACTGACAAATCCAGGAAATGGACAGAAACAGCAGAGGTATGGGATATGCAATGGCATGGGGGAAAATTCACTTGGAGTAATAATCAGATGGGAGCAAATCGAATTTTTTCCAAATTGGACAGAACCATGGTAAATTCCTCCTGGCTTAATCTATATGCGGATGCTTATACTACAGCATTATCAGCAGGTATCTCAGACCACAAAGCCTTATTAATCGAATGGGAGGAAATGAAGCAGGAAAACAGAAGATCATTTAAATTCCTTAAATGATTAATCAAATGGGTGCACAGTAAGGATTTTAAAAATCTAGTTGAAGCAAGTTGGAAGGGAAGTATGCAAGGAAGCAAGCAATATTGTATTATTGCAAAGCATAAGCTATTAAAGCATCCTCTAAAGGAGTTAAACAGGAAGCAGTTCTCAGAAATAGAAGAAAGGGAACCGAAGTGTAGAAAGGACCTAGAAGAAATACTGGCAAAACTGGAACTCAAGCCATATGATGAAAAGTTGCAAAGAAAAGAAAGACTAGCCAAGGAGGATCACATTTCAACAAGCAAAGCTGTTCTGGCCTTCTATCAGCAGAAAATAAGGGAAAGATGGATCCAAGAGGGAGATCTAAATACTAGTTTTTTCCATGCCAGTGTGAAACAAAGAGCAGCCAAAAGCAGAATCAGATCATACATAGACGCTACTGGACAATTAATAGAAGAATGGAACAAAGTAGAAGACCATTTCCTCCAATACTATCAAGAATTGCTTGGTCAAACTGAAAGAAGAACTAATGCTAGAATTGTAGTATTTAGTTCAGGAACTAAGCTGAATGTATATCAGCAGATTTCCCTTACTAAAGACTTCACAAAGGCAGAAGTAAAAGAGGCAATGTTTAGCATTGATGAAAACAATAGTCCTGGGCCTGATGGATACACTAGCTGTTTTTACAGAAGAGTTTGGGGAATAGTAGGAGAAGATATCAGTGCAGCCATCCTGGACTTCTTCAAAACAGAGAAGCTTTTGAAGCAACTCAATACAACGCTGATCTCCTTAGTGCCAAAGAATGCATCACCAAGTAATGCCACTGAATACAGGCCTATCTCTTGCTGCAACACCATTTGTAAATGCATCTAAAAAATGATCTGCAACAGACTGAGTGTAGTACTGCCAGAACTAATAGACTTGAATCAAGGAGCATTTGTAAAGCAGAGATTGATACTTCATAACATACTATTGGCACAGGAATTGATAAGGCTATATAAGAGGAAAAACCTGACTCCTTGTTGTGTGATGAAAGTTGACTAGAGGAAAGCCTTTGATTCAGTACACTGGGAGTTTGTCAATGAAATGCTGATAGAATATGGTTTCCCACTGAGATTCAGGAACTGGATCATGCAATGTGTCACCACTTGCTCCTATTCCCTAAATCTCAATGGAAACAGTTGTGGTTTCTTCCCAGGAAGAAGAGGACTCAGGCAAGGAGATCCACTTTCCCCTCTTTTATTTGTAATGATAATGGAATATCTGACAAGGAGTTTTAAACTGGAAGCATCAAATGGATTCAAAATGCACCCCTACTGTAAAAAGCTTAGCATCACCAATTTGAGCTTTGCTGATGATCTGTTAATATTCTGTGGAGCAGAAAGAAGGACAGTGGGAAAGGTGAAAGATATACTAGATCACTTTGCTGATACTACTGGGTTAAAAGTCAATGTTCAGAAGTCAAATATATATTTTGGAGGCACTAATACAGCAGGGCAAGATGAAATACAGAAGCTCATGGGATTTGAAGTTAGTGATTTCCCCATGAAATATTTGGGGATGCCATTGTCTCCAACTTCCTGGAATAAAAATGACTCTCAAGTGATGGTGGACAAGATAACTGTTAGGATTAGAGCATGGTCATCCCGACATTTATCATATGCAGGAAGAGTGCAGCTAGTGAATGACGGGGGTCTGGTTGACGGTCTTAGCCTTGTTTTTCTTCCACCTCTGGTTCTTGGGTTGGTCTGGCGCTTTCTCTTGGGATCCCTTCTGGACACAATCCTGGAATTTACCCGCCTTAAGGCCCTCCTCAATCTCCTTCTTCAGCCTGTAGCAATCCTCGGTGTCATGCCCCTTGCTCCAGTGAAAGTCACACCATTCGGACGATGATTCATTCTGAGACCGGCCCGGGGACGGAAGCTTGAACTCACTCTTGTGAATTTGAAGAATCTCCTTTCTGGTTTTGGTGAGGATGGGTACCTTGGACTCGAACTTCGGAGATCCGATGTTGAGTATCTTCGCCTCCGGCTTCCCTGTTTTCTTCTCGCCTTCGGCAAAAGCTTCTCTGGCCCTCTTCATGGACTCATCTGTCCGGATCTCCTTTTCAAATATTTCCCACAACCTCTGGGTAGTGCCCCGGGGCTTAGCCTTGAGCTTGCTCCTCAGGGCAGCGCCCGTACCAAAGGGAGAGAGGCCGTTCACGAACTCGACCCTCACCACCAAATCGTCGACCTGGTTTATCATCATAAGTTCCTTTGTGAATCTCTTGTAGTACTCCCCCAGAGACTCGTTCCGGTGCTGGCGGACTGAAGACAAGTCATGGATGGTGCGCTTGGCTCTCTTGCTGGAAAAGAATCGGACATAGAGCTTTCGCCCTAAGTCCGCATAAGAAGTAACGCTGCCCGGGGGCAGGCTATTGAACCATATCTTAGCGGCCCCTGTTAGGAAGTTGGGCATCGCTTTAGCAGAGAACTCCCAGGGTGAGTCTCGCAAATCCATGGTCATGGTGTAGTCGGCCAAGAAGCTAACTGGACAGGTATCACCCCCGTACTTCGCGATGTCCGTTGGGAGTTTCAAGTTAACCGGTCGCGGGCAACACCGGATATGCTCGGCGAAAGGACTTCCTAGCGCCTCCCTACTGTTGAGTATGGCCTCGAGCCGGGGATCTGACACACCCTCGCGATCCACCCGCGGCTGGGGTCTTGGTGGGGTTTTAGGGTCGCGTTCTCTGGATCGATCTCGACCCCGAGAGACCCTTCGTTCCCCCATGAACATGAGGCTATCGTCAGGACCTTCGCCCTTGTCTCCATAATACATGTCCTCGAACTTTCTGAACTGCTCTTCGAATCCAGGGAATCTTCCGGCAAAGGATCTCCAGAAGCGGTCATCATGTGGTCCCTGTTCGGGAGAACGGGATGGATGAGGACGCTTGGAAGTTTCTTTGCTCCTCTCTGCTTCTTTACTGGTCTGGCGGGATCGGCTCCTCCGGTGTTCGGCTGATTCGTGGTCGCGGCCCTCCCGAGGGTCATCGGACCTCCTGGAGCTACCCTGACGATCATTAGTTCGGGAAGCCCCTTCGGCATCCTCCTTGTCTCGGCGTTCTCCACGGGACCGGGCGGATACGCGGGAACTCCCCCCTACCACCTTCGATCTCAGTCCAGGCCTGCGACTCGTCCCTTCATCGGGCCTTATCCGGGTGGAGACCATTACTCTTGTAGAACAACTGGGTTTGCCCTCGGCCAAACGGGAAAGAGTGATTCCCACAGACGGCGCCACTTGTCGAGAGTAAATTCCGGGGGCGGAGAGTCAACGGTCCGACCTAGACGGGAACCTGCAAAACGGAGGTTAGCACTCCGAAGGTCAAGTCAGTTCTAGGGAGAGAAGTAGGTAATTGTCACACTTAGAGAGAGAAACGGGAGTGTGGAATTGGATCAGCAATAAATGAACAAGGAGTATTTATAAGTCCCCAATAGGACAATATCTGTGGGCCCCTATGTCGAGAGGGATAAGAGCGTAAATAGGCATATGTTAATTCCTTGTGAACCGGTTGGGCCCAAAGGAATAAAATAAACGGACGACTTGGGCTTGTAAGATGAGCCCAAGTCGGATGGCAAGTTGGGCCGATCAAGATGGGTCAGGATTGACCTCCAACACATATCCTCAAAATATAATAGCTGGACTTGGTTTTATGCCTCTTTCTTTGAAAAAAAAAAAAAAAAAGGTTTATAATGGCTTGAAACTCCTCCATTGGGTTCAGACCTTGGCTAACCCGTGATATAATGGGGATAACATATCCTCAAAATGTAATAGCTGGACTTGGTTTTATGCCTCTTTCTTTGAAAAAAAAAAAAGAAAAAATTTAGTTGTGTTATTGTAAACACTAGTACTTAGCGCTGCGCAAGTTGTATTATAAGTTATAAATTAAAAAGTAGAATATACTGTACATGTGAGTGTAAATCAGTGAAAAAAACTAAAAATTCAATAAATCAATTCTTTATTAAAATACTAGAAAATGTTAAAAAATAAGTATTTGATTCCTTTTTTGTGATGATTTAATTGCATGATATATCTTTATATATATATATATATATAGATAGTTAAGATCTTAAAAAGATATTATGTTATTTCTAAATTATAATATTTTTCTGTCTATAAAAGGATTTACATAATGTAGTTTTTTTTTTTACTAAATGGTAAAATATAATTATAATTCCTTACTTTTAAAATATAAAAGTTGGTTTCTCACTAAAATCTAGTAAAATATAATTATAATTCCTTACTTTTAAAATATAAAAGTTGGTTTCTCACAAAAATCTTATCCTTTTTTACAGATATATATATATATATATATATATCTTTTACTGATACATTTTAATGTGACACATGTTCTTACATCTTTTTCAATCTATCCACATCGCTTCATTTCTTCAAAAATCCAACTACCTTAATATATATATATATATATATATATATATATATGATTATTCCAGCACGCCCTTCTTCTCTTCACATAGTCACAATGATTCTCTCATTGAATAGTAATGATATTTTTAACACAAATTATATAAATTCGAAAGTAATTGTGAATGATATATGCATTAACATAAATTATATAATTTATAAGAAGTAATTGGATTATGTCACACTGAGTGGCACTAGAGAGTGTCACACCTTTCAACCACATTGCAAATTGCACTGAAAGGAAGGGACAAGCAAAAAGCAGGGTCGATAAGGCATGTTAAATCCTCAACGTAAAAGTGTCAGACACCGAGTTATGATGATTCTAGAAGGTTGATTTTGGTAGAGAGAAGAATGGGCAGGTAATTTTGGTAGAGGAAGTAATAGAGCTTTCTTGCAGAGCCCTAATGACCACCGCTGACAATGGATTAGTTCTTGCATGATTAAACTTTGCCTTTGCACATTTTGAAAATTAGTAACGGAATGAAAACTTTCAAATGGTGAGATTAAAATAGGATTATTCAAATTATTGAGGGGTCAAACTGCAAAAATATCAGTTGTCGGACATCCTTGTTAGGGATACTCGAGGTACGATCAAGGGATATTCGAGTTCAGGGTGGCATCACCAATGTTTCTCTCATTGTTAATGGCGGCAATCTCAACTTGATTGCTTTCCTCTAGGGTTTTCTGATGCTCAACATGGATGACTTCTTTGTTCAAATGCTGATAGCTAGCTTTGGAGTCTTGAATTCCTTAAGGTAAATTATGAAGCCGTGGTATTGAGAAGTGATAAAGGAAGAACGCCCCTTCCAAAATCACCATATCTTCTTTGCCTTTCATGTTTTAGTTCTTTATGGTACGGGTTTAATTATCTGTACTAAAGATGTAAGGTGCAATGGAGCTTGATAGGCTATGTGACAATGGGACTAAGTGTTTTGTCTTGATTGAAACCGATAATTACTTTTCTCTTAGTTGGTTAATTTTTAAGAGTTTGTATTAACAAAACTGAAAATTTAACTATATTATTAGTGTTGATTGAAATGCTATCAGCTTGGTTTCGAAATGTGGATTTCATTGATAAATTAGAAATGAAGTGAAGCTTGTCATAGATGTCGACAGTTTTCATTGTGGTTTGCAGTCTATAGTAGTGGGCGTAAATTTACTCATCTTTAATGGGTTCTTGGCGTTATTAAAAAAAAAAAAAAACTCTCAGGGCCTTGATGCCAATAGAAGTCGTCACTTTTACCAACTGTAAGTAGTTCTCGAATAACACATACTTACATTCATTTTGGTTTCTTTGTTTGTTTGGTGCGCTCATATTAGTTTCTTCGTTCATTTTTATTAACATGCTTCTTCTATTTCAAAATTATTGTTCAATTTGAATTTTTATTTTTAGTTCATTTTGTACTAAAAATAAAAATTCAAACTGGACAATAATTTTGGAACAAATGAAGCAAGCTTCACATAACTACTTGGTAAGAGAAGTTAATTGTAGAGTTGATGATATTTTCGAACAATTAATTAGAGAGGCCGAGAAAATGATATACTAATAATAATAATGTTTAATGCAAATTACAATTAGTTGTACTGAACATAACTTGGGAGAGACTTACCCATCACATTACGTACAACCTTCCTTTTTCTGTTTTCTCCGTTAGACGGAAACAAATTTCATTGATAAGAAACTAAAGAAAGTTCAGAACTCATTGATCCAGCAGGCAGTAATTTATTAATCCGATTTCAAACCCTCCTGTAAGAACAAAGATTGATGCAAAACTATAAAATCTAAAAAAAACATGCAGAATACATAGCATAAATCAGGACTCTGATAAATTTACCGGATGAAAAGGAAAATAATAACAATACTAATTTCTTCTTGTTCCTTTCTTTTTCCCCCTAATAATTCCTCTTTATTAATTAAATAAATGTAATGGAAGAAAATAAGGTGCACCAAAAGTTTAAGACAAAGTACCTGGTGGAGGAGTTTCTTATGATAGCGGTACCCCTATGAAGTAGAAAAAAGAAACACCATTTGGTCAGTCTAAGTGTTATATACATAACTAAAACCAGAGTTAAGAAAAGGGGCCAAAAAATAAAAGAAAAAGTGTTAATCTCACCTTGTTGGTTCCATAAACATAATCACAATAAGTGAACACTAAACCAAAATTGCTTTGGCTTTGACCACCAATGTAATGATGGTAGTCGTGGTATTCTGGACCACAATAGAAGGGAATGATATACTTTAAAGGATTCCATGGGAGATTGTACCTGCACAATTTATAAGGATTAATAATCACTAATTTTAGTGTCACAATGAGAATATATATAATCTTATATTCTTATTCTAATTATCAAAATTCAAAAAATGAAACAAAACAGGGGAGAAAACAGGGGAAGTGGTGAGTATTACCCACTGTGAATCGCGACACCGTGAATGCTCCTTAATCCCGTCCACAACCACAACGTAATCATATGGCCCGGGACCAATGCAGGGCCGACGGAGAATGGGATTCCGACCAGCAAAATCTCTGCCCAATGGTCATGTAAAGCTGCGAATCCATTGGGAGCTGTGTATTCATGGTGAACCTTGTGGATTTTCTCGTAACCCCATTTGCAGTGCAACCACCGATGAATCCAATAGTTCAAATAATCATCCACCACAAAGTAGACTGCCAATTGGGCCACTATTTCCCATATTGATGGCAACGGTAATCCACTCCTACTTCCCTTCCCCTATTTCAGTTCAACAAAACAGAGAATGAAAAACAGGAATCACGTTTCTTAAATTAGAAAAAAGAAAAAGAAAACCCAAAATAAAATTCACCTGAATGGAGGAGGGATAAGAGACTCCGAGAAAAAGAGGGACCACAAAGAGGAAGAAAGTACGGAGGGTTGATTTATAGGAACTGAAGCAATGGGAGAGGTTGAGTTTGACTTTAGGCTGGATTTTGTAAGCAACGAGGGAGTTGCCAAATAAGAGTTCAAGTGAGGTATAGTAAAGAGGGACAATGGCGGAAAGTAGGAAGAGAAACAGGAGGTTGTGAGATTGGAGCAAGAAATCAGATTTGTTAGCTGAATAGTTGAACCAAATGGTCTCCGCCGCGGTCAGGCCACGGCCTAAGGCGGCCTCCGCCTCTTCCACGGACTTGTATGGTAACATTTAGTATCAGAGAATGTCTGGAGAAATTACAGCTAATTTTAATTGAGTGCAGTATTGTATAAAACTGATTTGAACAGTCTTAATCTTGTTGTAAGTTTTTGAGCTAAGATCATGCAAAGGTTTTGGTTTTTCTTTTGGCTGGGAGAAATGGTCAGAAGAGAGAGAAAGTACATAAAACGAGATTAGCTCACCTAAACAAGTGCAGCTAGTAGCTAAGTATAATACTGTTAAATCATCTGTCCAATGCAACCAAATTTTTATTTTATTTTATTTTTATATTACAAGATGTCCACACTGTCGTCAACAATGACTAATCTCCCTTAGTTATGGTAAGTACTTTGATGGGTGAGAAAACTGTTCAAAGAATTAAGGTTGTTTTATTTCCATGGCGAGGTTCAAACCCTACCACTAATACTTAACCAAGACACGCACTAATCACGTGATATGTGCCAATTGCCTTAACATTATCTATAAGATAAGAAACGAAATGATTTGCAAGTCTAATGTACAGAGAATAATCATCGAATAGATGTAGTGCCACTACCACTAGTAAACCAAAATAAATATCCCATGGCAGCGACTACCACCGCCGGAAAACCCCATCTCCACTCCGTAAGGCTGCTCCGCCGCACGTATTTCAACCGGGCTTTTGCAGCCGTATACTTGTCGGCCGTCTTAGCTCTTCTTTACCGCCACGTCAACTCATTGATCATCCGGCCCAAAACCTTGTCATCCATCTCCATCTCCATTTCCATGTTCATCGCCGACCTCGTACTGGCTTTCATGTGGTTCACTTTCCAATCCTGTCGGATGAAAATGATAGTTCGCCAAGTTCACTTAGAAAACCTTGAAAAAGTAGTTACTTCCGGGGAGAATTTCCCGGCTATGGATGTCTTCGTTTGCACGGCTGACCCTTTTAAAGAGCCGCCGTTAAGTGTGGTCAACACCGCCTTGTCGGTGTTGGCTTATGACTATCCGCCGGAAAAGTTATCGGTTTATGTGTCGGACGACGGTGGGTCAGAGTTGACTTTGTTTGCTTTCATGGAGGCTGCCAAATTTGGAAGGTTTTGGTTGCCGTTTTGCAAGGAATATAATATTATGGACCGGTGCCCCGATGCTTATTTCAAGTCCAATTATTCTGCTAATTCCGATACTCAATTTATTAAGGTACGTCCGGTGAAATTGATTAGGTTTAGTAGTGTTTTGTTTTCTGTACAGTACAGCCCTCATTAATTGGTTAATTAATTACACAAAGCAAAACATATTTTTTCCCGAAGAAATTATTCACCGAGCAGTATAGAAGTCACCTATGTACTTCTGTCTTTTTTACTATTTTGTTACATTTTTTTCCCCGATTAAATACTCCTTCCTAAACATGAATTAAATTATGTTTATACAAGAGGACTAAAACTACTCTAGCAAAAATGTCTCACTCATATATTAGTATATCATCATTCGAGAAGCAAGCTTGTCTGGTTCGTCATTTGATAGCAATCACATTCGGAAAAGGGAGCATACAAACAAAATATGACTTGTGTTAATTAACAATTAAGTATTGGGTATTTGTTTGTGGCGAAGAAAAATACAAAGTGCGGCAAAGACTATTTGGACAACAAAAGTCACTCATGTAATTATTGTCCTATTCTTTTTCTTCTACTTTCCGTCCCAATTATTAGCCATGTAATTTCTTGACTTGAATAATGTTATAAGAGAAGTTTTTATATAGTTCGGCCGACTAAATAATTCGACCATTGATTCGATGACTATATTTACACACAAATAGATAATTTTTATCAAGACTATAATTTTGCATATGTTATATACTTATATTTATCAGGAAACTACTTTGATTAATTACTTTATCAGTCAGAATCTTATTTTATTTTCCATAGGAGATGTATGAAAACATGAAGGAGAAAATAGAAAACGTGGTGGAGAAAGGAAATGTGACAGATGAAGACCTTTCAAGCGAGGAAGAACTGGAGGCCTTTAGCAAATGGAAACGAGGAATCTTCACTCCTCAGCAGCATCCCTCTGTCATTCAGGTAGTATCTTATTTTATTTAACACTCCTTTCAAATAATCGAATCAAAACTCATTTCAGATTTGAACAGCTAGTCAAGTAAGTGAAATCGTGCATCAGTCGTGGACAGAATTTTATTTTTTTTTAAAAAAAAAAGAAACATTGGTACTGAATATGTTTGACGATAGTAGAAATTAAATGTATAGTAAATTAAATTACAATTTGGTCAGGTTTTGTTGGAAAGTGACAAGGACAAAGACACCGCAGGAAATCCAATGCCCAATTTGATTTACGTCTCTCGGGAGAAAAGTAAGGCCTCGCCGCATAATTTTAAAGCCGGCGCCCTAAACACATTGGTAAGTTCTCTTAAGATTAATAGAGAAAAAGGAATTTCTCATAACCAAATGGTTAATTGGTTTGCATATAAGATTCCATTTTAGTGTAATGCGATTGATATTGGGTAGTAACGTTTGTTTCATGTTTGCAAGTCGAATATTTTGGAAATCAAAACAAGTTATAACATAACTCGTTTCCATGAATCAAATGCATTTTGCTAAATGTCAAAATTACATTGGTCTCCCATCTCAAAATCAATTGGCAATGAGTGAAGTGATTTTTGACACTTATACACAAGTGACATATCCTTTAAGACACTGATGTGAGATTCTTTATCCCAACATTAAATCTCAATTTCGTTTCCACTACCCCCTTTTTGTTTATATATGTTGAACTTTCAAATGGTTTTCATTCCTAACTTACTTCATAAGCATGATTTTTCGGGTACCAAAAAAAAAGGATGACAATAGTTTAATTGACATTATATAGATTCGAGTGTCGGCAGTAATGACAAACGCACCTATTATACTCACTCTAGATTGTGACATGTTCTCTAATGATCCCAAAACGGCCGAAAGAGTGATATGCTTCATGATGGATCCTCCTGATCAATCTAAGTTGGGCTACATACAATTTCCCCAAATGTATCATGGGTTAAACAAGGCCGACATATATGCAGTGGAATTTAAGCAACCATTTCAAATTAATGCAATGGGCATGGATGGTTTTCGAGGCCCAAATCATGTCGGCACAGGATGTTTCTTCAATCGACGAGTTTTCTTTGGCGGGCCATCATCCTTTGTTCAACCAGAAATGCCTGAACTTAGACCAGATTACACTCCCAAGAAGAATCTAATTAAGTCGCCAAGCATTGTGAACCTGGCGCACCAAGTATCTGGGTGCAACTATGAAAACCAGAGTAATTGGGGTTTGAAGGTGAGCATCTGAAGAATTTAAATGTCCCTTACATCTTATTTTAACGTAACATCCAGAAAGATTAACAATAAATATTATCTCTGTTCCGTAAAAATAGTCTATATTTTAAGAACTCAATATGGACTATGTTTTTAGGACGAAAGCAATATTTTTATTCGCTTATCGATTGTAAAATTTACATGCAGATTGGATTCAAATATGGTACTCTGGTGGAGGACTTCTACTCGGGTTATCGACTTCAATGTGAAGGATGGCATTCTATGTTTTACCATCCAAAGAGGCCAGCATTTCTGGGTGATGTACCAATCACTCTCATTGATGTCATAACCCAACATAAGCGATGGTTTGTGGGATTTCTCGATGTAGCATTCTCCAAATATAGCCCATTAACATTCGGTGTCCGATCTATGGGTTTTTTGCAATCTTCCATTTACGTCCACTATTCTCTATGGGCCATTTGGTCCATTCCCATTGTCGCATACGCCTTTATTCCTCAACTCGCCCTACTTAACAACATAAGCATCTTCCCAAAGGTATGTGTTTTGGTTATATAGATGTAAATATTTCCATGCTTTTTGTTAAGAAAGTTGTCTTAACCTACGCTTTGAAGTGAAAATTTGACCTAATTTGTATTAAAAAATGAGTGTGAAAATTCTATTGACAAATAAAGCTCTTACAGGCATCAGATGGATGGTTTCTTCTCTACTCCTTTTTGTTTTTGGGAGCATACGGACAGCAATGTATAGAATTCATTCAAGGTCATAGCACAACTCAGAGGTGGTGGAGTGATCAAAGATTTTGGCTAATTAAAGGACTCACTTCTTACCCATTTGCAGCCATTGAATTCGTAACCAAACTTATAGGCATTGATGCATCAAAAGGATTCAATGTGACAAGTAAAGTAGTAGATGATGAACAGGGGAAGATGTACGATCAAGGGATATTCGAATTCGGGGTGGCATCACCAATGTTTGTGCCATTGTCTATGGCGGCAATCCTCAACTTGGTTTCTTTCCTCTATGGTTTTCTGATGATGATCAACTTGGATGGCTTCTTTGTTCAGATGTTTATTGCTGGTTTTGGAGTCATGAATTCTTTACCAGTTCTTGAAGCCATGGTATTTAGAAGTGATAAAGGAAGAATGCCAACCAAAATCACCATCATTTCTGCCTGCCTTGTTTTTGTTCTTTATGGTTTAAGTTTTTGTTTACACTAAATTAAGATATAGGTGCAGTGGAGCCTTTGGTGTGCTATGTATATAAGTGATTTTTATCTTAACTTGAAGCAGATAATTTTTGAAGGCTTGTAGCATTTCCAATCGATCGACAAGTGATCGAAAATAGTAAATAACTTAAAGCGATTAGATACCGTATCAAATAAGATGAAATCGGTGAAATATAGTCTTTTCAGGGTCTCTCTGGACCTTGAAATATGCTCGACTTACTCTGTTGAATTGATGTACCATCATATAAGTTGAAGTTACACCATGCTTCTGAAATGTTTCCAACGATCTTTTTTGCAATGTTGTTTCAGTGTGCCAAGGGAAGTCTTTTTACTCCCTGGATCATTTGGTTTTACAGTGAAGAATAGTCATTCCAAGCTACAAAACTTGTGCTGCAGCCTCAGAACGGCCCCAAAAATCCACTAGCCTTAGTTTCCACTTTGTCCTAATCGTATCGCTTTACCAAAAATTTGACTCGTGTACAATCAATTAATCATAATGATATGTACAGATTGAGTTTCTGGGCTGTCAACTTTGAATGCTGATAACCACTACGGATTCATCAGGACAATTATTCCGGCTCGATGATCCTTCTGACGCGCAAACTTCAACCCGCAACACAACTTCAGCGAGTTGCTGAGGCTGCTCCGCGTATACCATCCGTGTTCCGGGGCTTTGGTTGAGGGGCTGATCATTTTCAGCTGAAGGAATTGGTTCCTGAGGAAAAGTAGCAGCAGCAGAAGCATTTGTGGTGGAAATGAGAACCGGGGATCTGCAGAGTGGGCAAGTGGAGTTGGAGTGGAGCCAATGGCTTATACAATCCATGTGGAATACATGTTTGCATGATGGGATTTGGTGTAGTTCTTCTTTCACTTCAAATTCTCCCAGGCACACACAGCAGCTGCCAAGTTTTTGCACAAAAACAAATTAGAATGGATAGGGTAGAAGATCAGTAGAAAACATGATTCATTCATGAAACTTTAGTAGTCTTTCCGTCTCATTTTAATAGTTCATTTTATAAAATACGAGCATTATTTCGTTATATCAATACATTTAATATCAATACATTAGTGGGACAAAATTTCAAAATATCAGTGGGAGGGACCCGGGTTCCAGAGTCGTCAACAGCACTATCTGTCTATTACTAATTTATTAGAGCATGATTAACATTTGCAGACAGCTGATGACTTTAATCAATTACAAAGCAACTAGAAATGTTTCTCTCCCTTTTTTTTCCTCCAGCTGATGCAAAAAGTTGAAGACTGCTAAATATTGTTTAATGTACTACTGTTACATTTTTTTTTCCCTTTTGAATAGTAACTTGACTTAAAATGTCATGGTTACAAACTTAAAATCCTCTCCTTTATTACTCCCTGAAATCCTACCCAACATTCTTGGAACAAGAAGTTATAAGTAGATGAACATTGCAAAAGATTGGAACTTTGTTAAAACTTACAGTGTCTCTCTGGACTTTGAATTTTCGTCATACAGGATTACTGGAAGCTTTTCCTTGCAAATTTCCTCCAAATCCAAGCCATCCTACAAAGCATAAAAGATTGAGAACTACAAACACAGAGAAAAGGAAAGAAAAAGGATCCTCTTGCAAAGTCATGATGAAGTTGTAGAGGACTCACAGCTAATGAACTAATCACGGCGGCTCGTCGGTCTGAATTCTGCTGAGGATGATTTGCTGAGTTTCCTGAAGTTATGGAAGTGACCCTTTTCTTTAGATAGAACAAGTAAAACAAGAGGAAGAGAATGATGGAAAACAGGATTGGGATGGAGAATATGAAAGCCTGGTATAGTTTCAGCTGAAGTTCTTGGGAGTACAGGTGAGAAGGGCTGCTAGGAGTTTCTGTTTGTGGATTAAACCCCATTTCTCACTAATCTTTTCCTGTGCAAATGGTGATTTTGAGAAGTGATGATAAGTTTTACACACATACACGCACACATATATACACACATGATTTATAGTTGCATGATTGATATATTGTGTATATATCAGTGTATGGAGCCTAATATGTGGGGTGGTCATAGCATTGAGAAAAAAGGTGATCCTATTTAGTACTGTAAAGTAAACACTAATATTATTTTAAACTACAAAAGGTTTTATGAAAGATGTATAAAATTGGAAGTGATCATCAAAAAACGTGTTTTAAGTTTGTTGTTTTTTTGGCTATTGGCTTGGAAAAAACGAACTGACCATTGTAGACTTATTATAGTGAGGTATCCTTGGCTTGTCTTCATCGATCTATTCTGCAGCACTATTCCCAGATTCAGGAAAGAAGGTACACACATTGTGCAGGAAAAAAAGAATAGTTGATTGTGACACAACAAATATAGGTTGTGGAACTATAGAGGTTGTGGTGGTAGTCTATTCTGAAATAAGTGAAAATCGAAACCGAAACCACCATTCGAAAAAATTCCTTGAAGGGATTTCAACTGTTTCATCCACATTTCGGTTTAATACGCAGAACTCTTATTTTGAGACGGAATTATCTTGTTGAGCTAGGTAGGCAAAAAGATGCAGAAACAAGTATTGGGGAAAAAAAAGTTGTGCCGGTTTGATTGGATGGGGAAGGGTGATAAGCCTAACCTGGCTAACACTTTAATAATTGCTAATGTTAGATCAGAAAGTAATTATCATTTCTAATGGTAGTACTTATAATGCCCCTTTTTTCAGCTTACTATTTCGGCCAAGACTGAACTGATTCTGGAGTACCTGTCTCTGTACTACTTTAAAGGCCTGCACCATCAGCGGTCAACAAGACCTATGCTTTTCCTTTACGTATAATTCATTCCAGAATTGATACTTATTTTGCTATTGCTATCTTCCCATCATATCAAACGTATATAAAAAAAAAAAAAATTAAAAAAAAAACTACGAGTTACGGCTCATCCAATGTTTTGTTATAACAAATCAAATCGATTTGCAAAAAGGGTCTTGGGATCAAGTAACGCTAGAGATATAGAACTTACTCATTGTTAGGATTTTTATTTTTTTTTAAATATTGCGTACGATATCCTAAATGCATTGCACTCAGATGTTTTTAGTAGTTTAAATAAGTCAGAAAACGGATAGCGAAAAGGATGAAGGGAAAAGAAAATGTGGATAGAGCAAGGCAGTAGCAGCCAAGAAATAGGAGATGATCTCAGGATCCATGTTTAAGGTTACCCAACTTTATGAGGTAAAGTAATTAGAATGAGAAAGAGACATAAAAATATGATAAGTTCTAGCATTGCTGGCCATTTACTTGATTGGTTAAAATATCTTGCCGTTCAAGATTATACAGCCTATACTTTTTTGCATCTCTTTCTTTTCTTCCCCATCCTTATTCATGCTTTCCTTTTTGTTTATTTTAGTATTTTAGGAGGACACTTTCAGCTCCACTTTTAGATGTAAAATTCTTGTAGGGATATGCTGCTTCATAATAAATGTAGGCATTTTCTGGTGATAAAAAAAGGTTCTTTGCCATGATGTATTTGTGGGTCAGGAACAATCTCCTCTTCTCCTTTTTCTCTCCAAGTGGGAAGGGTTGGAATATCTGAACATATCTCAAACAGCAACACTCAGCTTGGAATTGATTCTCTCTTGGATTTTGGCAAATGGCCAAAGCATTAGCATTAAGTAATTGTTTAAGAACGAATAATAGTAAATACAGCGAGTTGAACTCAATAGCTCAGTGGTGATTTTTTTTTTTTTTTTTTGTACGACCTTATAATAGCAAACTGAGAGCTTAATGCCCCATTTTTACATTCCCTTCTTCATAAATCCCACCATCCAAAACACAATAAATTAAAATTGTTCTTCATTCTTCAGGTAGTGACGAATCATTTTATCTTGCTTCAGAAAATTAAGTGGCTAAACTAAAGTGCTACTATCTCCGTTCCAAAAAAATAGTTCACATTAAGTTTTCAGATTTGTAGTGGACTATTTTTTTTTTTGGGGTACGGAGAGAGTATTTTATATATGTGTACTATTTAATTCGGTGGCTGATGTACTAGTACAATGTAGATTCTAAAAGTCGCAACTAAACAAAGATTCCAAAGGATAATATAGCTATCTTTGAGTGCACTTGAGAAGAAGATTGTATAGTACAGACAGTGTTGGGCAGAGGCATCATTGGAATAGCTTTTTCGTGCATGATTAATTGAATTTTTCTGAAGTGAATAATTAGTTATATGATTAGTGCTTAGGCAACTCAGAATGTGTTCAACTTGTGTTTGAATTGATCCTTGACAATCTCAATTTTGGTTTTTATGTGTTTTGCTCGGATGAAATCTCAGTCTTGGTGGCTTCCTGTCATTTCAACTTTGGCTGATAACTTCATTCATGGTTATCATTGTTTGGCTTGATTATCCTCTCATCCAATTCTCACTTTTTTGGTAATGTCATATTGCTTGTCTTTTAGCTTGATCACGCATCTTAGTCTCTCCCTTTATTTTACCCATTTATTCTAAGGATTGAGACACTCTATAGCTGGTGAATTTCAAACTCTCAAACCTGGCTTCGGATCCAAAGCAATCCTTTTTGCCTTCTTGAAGGATGTTGCAAATATGTTGCAAGTTGAAAGACCAAGTTAGTACAATCTAGAACACAATCTTTATGAAATCAATACATAGTTCCACAGACCACATGAGCTATCAACAAATGAATGCCAATTTCAAGTGGCTGCAGACCTAGTAGAAAATAAGGTTTCATGAAGGAGAATAAACCCTTCCTCTGCTCTACAAAAGGTGGTGTATTTGAAATCTCTGCAGGAAAAAGGCTGGTCCCTAGGTTTTCCATGGTGGTGTTATTTTTGGTGTCTCCTCTTTGTAACTAACACTGTTGGCCCAGAAAGTGATGCAAAAGAACCTCGCAGGTTCTAAATTGGACCAAAAGAGCGGAGTTCTGAAAATGTGAGAGACAGTGTGGGAATCCTAAAGCTAAGGACCAAAAGTATAGTACTATCCAAAAACTGAAGGATCAAAAGTCCTTTTTTTTTTCCTTCCAGTAGAATACATATGTCCACTATGTTAGCGTCCAACTTATTCATGCCCATGTCAAAACAAGCAAGTACTACTAACCTAAGAAGGGAACGAAGTAGAAAATCAGAAATGGAGGGCAGCAACACTGCAGCAAAGTTAGTCACAACATCTAGCTGAAAGCAATGAATAACATTATGAACTGGTGAAATTATACATAAACATCTGGGATCAACATACCAAGTAAACAACTCAAAGGCGGTGAGTGAAAGACTCGAATCTCAACTACACAACTGAATCCAAAATTAGGCCATTTTAGTACTTCCTTTTTTTAATCTTGAAGTTCATTGATCGAATAACATCATCATCAGCATTCATTGTCGTCTCAAGGGCTTCCATGGACTCGGGTTTGGTAAAGTAGGTGAATAAAAGGTAAATGCCATCCAAATAAGTGTTGGTCTCTCCTGCTTTGTTTTTCTTTCTAATGCTGTAAGCAAGAGGAACGACCCCTCGGTTGAATACTTCTACGTACATACCACCACCAGCAACAAGCAACTGTAAAGAAAACATCATATAAAGGAACCAAAAAACCGAGAAAAATTCAGTATGTACATATACCTCTAAACCACCATTACTAGAGAGTTTATGGAATCATGGTTTTCTGTATCTCCAGTATTAACGAAGAATTTAAATTATTCTAAAAAGTGATGTAGTTGGACAAGATACCAAGTATCTGAAACTAATGGTGAAATCGACAACACAACACACTAGATAAGATGGTCTAATTTGACATTGATGTAGTGGCATATCAAGGCTAAACATGTGGTATCTGACAATGACAAAAGTAAGACAGACAAAACATGAAATGCAGAAAAGTGGTGATGACAATTGCATTAAGAGGTCAAACCTAACGTCTAAGGTTTCAATAACTAATATTTACTCAGAGACAAAGCATACCCTAAGTTGAGTACAGGAAGCAGATGGCACTGATTGGTAAGTGAAAAATGATTGCATTTACTGGGTAGTGCTTGAAACAGTGAAGCAAAATCCTTAATGGCAAATCTAGGTAGGTCATAGGAAATTGTATAATCACAAAAGTTGCATTAGCCGATGCACAACATTCAAGTAGTGCAGTCCTTTCAGATGTCACTCTTAGCATTATCCAAGCTTTAAAATGAAAGATTAAAATGTCTTGATTTCAATTGAACTCAGCACATTAGTTATTTAGTCTGGCCCTAAAACCACCACCTGACCTATATGTTCATGTGTCAAAGGAGGCCAGGCAGGGATTTGGGAATGAACACATCCAAACCAAAATTCAGAACCCAAATCTTAACATAGTCCTTTTACTACCCAGATATAGAGCAACCAAGAACCAACACCAAGATTCACACTTCATGATTCCATCAGATTCAGGGAGAAATGACAAACAAAGGGAAAGCAAAGAGAGCAAAACTTCCTGTCCTGGGGAAAACAGTTCTTCTCCAATTCAAGAAAAACTTTAACAACTCAAACTAATGTCGCACTACTCAGGCATGCCTATCATTTTCAACACGATTATCCACCCGGAAATGCTTTTATAAATCAAATGCTACAACAACAGCAACTAATACAAGTTATCCCTTCAGCTACACATCATACTGACATGTACTTGTTTAAATAAATACTGCGCAAACTACTTTCTATCCTCTATCTCTTTTTCTTTTCCCCCTTCTTTTTATCTCTTAAATCATTTTCACAGATACCTCTATATTATTTTCTCAAATTGCCAAAAGAGAATCGAAAATTGAATGATAAACGACTCAAGCAATGAAATTTTGAAGGCCGAAAGAACAAGTAGTAAGAAAAGTTAACAAACTTACCTCCTCGTATCGCTGGGTGAGATTGAGACGCTCATCTTCAGACATGTCGGGTCTGAGAACCGCCATTGTTTCATACTGGCGAAGCCCGGGTGGGCATTGTGGTTCCTCTTTGTCCTCCACAGCAGTGACACCCGACCCGGGAGAGATGGGAGGGTCGTCATCCCCTTCTAACCCACCTTCAAAGAAAGAACCGGAGAAGTCCAAAGTCTGAGCTCTGATTGATAAAGCCGAAATCTTGGTGGCATGATGGTTGGACCCGTTATGAATTTGGGGTTTGGGAAATGGGCCCAGGGAGAAAGTGAATGACAGTGAGGAAGAGGAGCAGCTGGCGGCGGTGGCAGCAGCGGCGGTGGCGGGAGTTGGGCTGAGTGTTGAGAAGATTAAGGTTGATGATGGGGAAGAAGCTGCCATTGTTGTTTGCTCTTTGGTTTTCAGAAAAGATTTGCGAAGTTGCTATGAATTTTGGATTACGAACGTTGGATAAGGAGGAGGATGCTTTTGCATTATCGTCACCAGTACGACGTCGCACCATGGGAAGTGATGATGAAAAGTTGAAAACGTGATTGAAAGTTTGAGCCTTTGAGGACTCCAACTTTCTCGAGGTTACCAAGCAATAATAACAGCTCGCAACAATAAAAAATACTACTACTAACCAAATGGGTTGGGTGGAGTGGTAAGTGCTCCTCCACCCTTATTCATAAGTTGAGTGTTCGAACTTCGTCATGGGTATAAAGCAACTTTGGCTAATTCTTCCTCCCTTTGAGGTGTCTACCATGAGTGAGCAGGATCAGTTACTATGGTCGACAGTAAACACCTTACAATATGTTAAAAAAAAAAAAAAAACACAATTACTAACGTTTTATTATTATTATTATTGATTATTTCATGGTATAGAAAAGAAAAAAAAAAGTGTGTATTTTCAAAAAGTTTCTTCTTACGGGATTCACACCTTTTAGCTACGTGTCAAGAACGGAGACTCCAGCGACGGAATCAGAGATCCTGACTCGCGAAGATGGAGAGGAGATGGAGAGAATTTAGGGTTGGGAATTGGGAACGTCGAATTGACGATAGAGAAAGAGGTTTTCTGAAAGAGAAAAAGTCACTTTATGTATCCTAAGAATAGGGGTATCCAGATCATGTACCTTAAGAATTGGTCTCACCAAATTATATACCCTATGTTTGAATTTTGTTGTTTCAAGTACTTTTTAAGGGCAAAATGGAAACTAACCTAAACTACTATGTTTTTGCCCCCAAACCTCTAGAAAAGAGCAAATTGGACCATAAATTTTATTGATTTTATCCAAATTTATCTTTCAGTTAGATTTCAGTAAATTGCGCCTAGATTTTGAGTCAAAAATTTCACACGATTTCCAGTGTTTATTTTAGCGACTTTTTCTTTATTATAAGTTTAATTATATTTTTATTTGTCATTTTGCATGATTATTTTAAAAAATATTTTTTATTCTTTCCTTTTTTGTACTTTTTGTTTAAGTCTTTTGCACTTTAATGCAATTCTAGTAACACATAATATTTTTTATTTTACGTGAATTTTCAGAGTTTATTTTAAGTGAATAAAAACAAAATCTAAAAAAAATGTGTTCGTAGAATGTTTCAAAGCGCCAAGAACCTTTTCAAAAAACAAAAAGTGCCAAGAACTTGAACAAAAGTATAAAAAAGGAAGGAATAAAATTTTTTTGTTAAAATAATCATGGGAAACAACAAAATAAAAATATATATTTAAACTTATAATAACAAAACTCGCTAAAATAAAACAAATATGTACGTAAAAAAATAATAAACACTGGAAGTCATGGAAATTCTTTGGCCAAAAATTTAAGTATAATTTGCTGAAATCTGAATGAAAGATAAATTTTTGTAATATTAATAGAATTTATGGTACAATTTGCTCTTTTTCAAAAGTTTGAAGGCAAAAATAGGACAAATTTTAGTAGTTTCTCATTTTGTCCTTGAAAAAATAACTAAAACAAAAAACTTCAAACATAAGATACATGATTTGATAAGATCAATTCTCAGGGTACATGATCTGGAGACTCTCCATGCTTAGAGTATATAAAGTGGATTTTTCCCTTTCTGAAAATATCATTCAATACTCAAAATTATCCATAATGACATTTCAGTACAATTCGACTATTTATAGTCAACTAATACCTGATATTGCAATTAAACCCCTGAACTAAGAAAACTAAACACTATAATCCCTGGTTCAAGACACTACGGTCCATATGAAGCCCAAGCTCTTGCGGCTGGGCTGAGGCTGTAACTTTTTCTCTTTCTTATTAGTTACAAAAGAAATAGGCCCAACCAAAATACAGACAGAAAAGAACGCATCTTCGTTTTTTCTTGTTGGAAAAGTCGAAGAACAAAACAAAGGCAATATACCGAAGCAGCATAAAAACCTGAGAGAAGGCCAAAGATTACTCGTGAGAGAGGAAAACCGAAGATGGATCCCAAGGTCACTGAAGTTTCGCAAATATTAGCCCGATTCAAGGCTGCTTTTTTGCGCAAAGATTATGATACGTGTGTAACGCTCCTCCTCCAGCTGAAGGTATGAAAAATTTCCCCAAAAAGTTGTTGTAATTGTATTTTGTTTACTTTTTTGCTTTTCCTTTGTTCAAAATCGAAACCCTTTTGTTATTTTTACTCGTAGATGCGTGTTTCTTGTTTGAATCTCATGTAAGTTCTACCTTGGTAGTGGAATTTTGATTTTAGGTTTTACTCAAAAGGGGGAAAATTGATGATTGGTAACCCTGGTTTTACTCTAATGTAGGAAGAGTAAGCTATGAATCTGTAGGCTAATTATGAGTTTTCTGTGGTTAGAAATGCATAGTGAATGTTTATGGCTTAATTAGAATTGAGTTCGGTTGAATAAAGTGGAATTTGTACCTAAAACCCAATGGAATTGGAAGAATTTGCAGATGGTTGCAGAGATCTTCTGTTTGGAAGAATGGGATTCTTAGTTACACCCACGAGATTGGTTAATGCTGATGGAAAGCATCCAACCTGTAGTATTTTGATGCCTGAGTATCAATGCATATTCATGAATCAAACAATGTGTGGATTTTTCCTTTTCCAAACCTGTGGATAATCAGCTCAGTAGGTGTCCATATATAAGTTTTCTGCATGAGTATGTATGACAATTTTGGGGGCTTGAATAAAATCCGTTTATCATTGGTTTTCTTTTTGCAGGTTGCATTGACAGCATTCACGAGCCTTCCTCCATTGTTTGAAAATACTCCAAATGCAGTTGACGAGTTGACACTAGCAAGTAATATTACTCACTTGACTTCGTACTACCGTCCTATGTTTTGTGTATGTGATTTATTAGTTTTTTGAAGTATATGGAACTTAGTATCATTGGATATTTTTGTGCATACGAATGTGATTTCCTTTGGATGAGTTTGGACTGTTTTGTTGTTAGTTTCATCCTATGTTGTGTACTCCCTCTGTTCCAAAATTATTATCCAGTTTGAAATTTCACCCTTAGTTTGATTTGTACGAAAAATGAAAATCCAAACTGGACAATAATTTCGGAACTGAGGGAGTATTGGATATATTGGGTGTTTTTGAACATGTAATTGATGTTGGCCCTAGAGTTTGCTATGCTTGTTAGTTTCATCTGATGTTGCATATTGTGTTTATTTATATTACCAAGTATATGGTACTGTGCAGTAAGTTTGACTGGCTGGCTCTGGATTAGTTTGAACTACTTTGTTGTTAGTATCATTTATTGTTTCAAGTTATGGTTTTGCTGCATAGTTTATATATTATGGAAGGTTCTTCTAGTTTTTCTGCTTTGACGTTTCTATATTTGGAATGATAGGGGAAGTATATGAACTTGCCGTTCTATTAAGTGTGAAGATTGAAGATCAGGAGGCTTTCGAGAGAGATTTCTTTCAGCTGAAGCCTTACTACACTGATGCACGGTAAATAACTAAATTGTTTTTGATTTTGCACCCTTTTGTGTCTTTTAGATTGATTTAAGATAGTTCAATGGAGGCATGTTTACCTTTTCTTCTGGAGGTGAGATTTATATTGCTCTCCGTTTTATCGTTGCTTTTCCTCACCTCGTACTTCTATGAGCAGGAACCGCCTTCCACCATCAGCCCAAGAATATCCCATCCTAGGCCTCAACCTCTTGAGGCTGCTTGTACAAAACAGGATTGCTGAGTTCCACACTGAGTTGGAGTTGCTGCCACCAGCTGCTTTGGAAAATCCTTGCATCAGACACGCTGTGGAATTAGAGCAATCCTTTATGGAAGGAGCTTACAACCGCGTCCTGAGTGCTAGACAGACCGTACCTCATGAAACTTACGTTTATTTCATGGATCTTCTTGCCAAGACTGTCAGGCAAGTCTTATTTTTGCTTGGTTTGTTGAGGTTATTAAATAATCACTGCTGCTCGATTGCCTTATCTCGTGAACTGTTGTGGCAATAGTAGTTCTTAACTGGTTGATGGAGAAATTTGTTATACTATGTGTAGTCATCCAGTTGATGGGGTTCCGATTCTTGATAAGTTTAAGCCTTTCATGTTCTTTCTTTGCCTCAAAACTACTTGTTAACAATGTTCCTGTGCTCGGGCATGGAATCTTCTGTTGCGAGAATCTTCCTTCTACTTTGTTAATGAAATGAAAACTTTCTAGTAGAACTTATCCCTGAATTTGAAGTGTTTTGATCAAGAGGGATTTCCAGCTTTTTCCCCATTTAAAATAGCAATGCCTATTATTGTACCTTGTGAGTTCTGACCCAGCTCTATTGATCTTAATGTTTCACCACCGCCTGTGATTCATCATCTCGCTTGTAAAATTTCTTATCTGGACTTGGAGATTTTGCTACTACATGCCATTGCAGTTCCCTCCTCATTTTGTGAATTTGCTTTTAATTGTTGACGGTCCATTTTATCCAGTCTCCTTATCTTCCTTTGATTTTATCGATGGTAGGGATGAGATAGCTGGGTGCAGTGAGAAGGCTTATGACAGTATGTCAATCAGAGATGCTCAACAAATGCTGTTGTTTTCTTCAGAGAGGGAACTCTTAGATTACATCAAAGAGGTGCTTTTTGCTGCCAAATTTACTTTACCTTGTGCCCTTTATTTATTGATTTCTTATTGTTGATGTTATAGTAGTTCTAATACTGTGAATGTTATACAACTCGATTTGCAGGATCATCCTGAATGGGAGGTGAAGAATGGGCTCGTGGTTTTCCAGGTTGCCAAAGAACATGCACCTTGCAAGGAGATACCCTCTCTGCAGCTTATCAATCAGATGCTCGGTTACGCCAGGGAGCTAGAGCGGATTGTGTGAAGGGATGTGTGATGAAATCTGAAACATTTGTAATTCGAAATTTATGTCGTTTTTTGCTCCATATTGTCATGCTTTGGACGAGAGATTTGAGTAGGCGAACATCAATTTGCTGACTACCTTTGTTACCTTTTGAATTTTGGTTTGGTAAAAATGCCTAAATGGAACCAAGATAGAAGAAAATGTTTTGGTCCGGAAATTAGTAAGGAGTGATAAATGGGACATACAATAGGCCATCACTATCGTACAACTGCTTCACATTCCTGATTTTCTGTGATGGCTTTTTCTTTTCTTCTTTTTGGCCCTTTTAAAATAATTAGCAGTTGTATGACAATGAGTTTTCAACAACCATGATTTATAACTGGGAATGCCATATCATTCGGCTAAAGATTGCACATCCTAGTTCATTTTTTATTTCCTGAAAATAGTGAAGAAGTTGGCTTCAAAATATACAGAATCTGGAAATATGGAATGTGATGAGCCCACCGGTTGTCATATTGTGCAATGCATGATCCTCCAATGGGTGATTGGTGTATCTAGTTGCCAAATAGCTGGCCTTTTAGAGTAAAGATTACATTCTCGTTGTCTAGTATTTTTTTACATGGAAAATGAACTTTTTTCACATTGATTTATGGGATACCAGCACGGAAATCTTGACTTGGATATTATGCATATTTGTCGGCCACTCCAACTTGTTTTTCTAATTTTCTTTTTCCCGATGTTTACCGCAGACAATAGAATCGCATCCAGTTACTCTAGATCACTTTAGACTCTGCATGTAAATTAAGAAGACAACTATTTGGCAATTAATTTATGTGTCAAATATTTAATTTACCATTATTAATTATTTTGGAATTATAATCAAGACTAGAAAAAAATAGTTAGCATCATTTATTAAGGTCAAAATTGAGAATTTAATCAATAATTTGCCTTGAAACCTGAAACATCTAGAAATATTTCTCTAAACCTAAAACGAGCTACATTTTTTAAATAGAGGGAGTATCAAATTATCAGCATTTCATGAATGAGAAGTATGATCAAGAGATTTTAGTATATTATTTAAGCGAAAATTGGAACAAACAGAATGATTAAGGAAGTACGAGTCTATTCAACTCAACATTTTGTATTCCTCCACACTTTCCTATCTTGATGAAAACTACAGCTAAGAACTGAACATTCTAAACGTACCATCATTAAGTTACTACTACTAACGTATTGACTGATTTCCATTGTGGCTTGTAAGGATGTTTCTTTGCCCATATCGCATTGGCAATTGATCTTCTTGAATCATCATTCATCATACCGAAAGGGTAAATGTTGAAACGTGGAGGACGAAGTGTTGAAATAGAGGAAAAGATTTATTGTTTGGTAGTTAAAACTGATGATTATTTTTTGATTCAATGTTGAATGATTGGTTTCTTTCTCTTTTTCTTTTTGCTTTTACCTCCCTAACCATAAAAATGGGAAAAGAAATATAAGGGTTTTTTTTTCCGCTGCCAAAAAGCACGTGTGACGTTTCACATCCCACAACGTTTGAAATCAGATTCTTGTAGCATCTTGGCCATGACTATTGAGTGATGAGCCCCCCCTCCATCCCTCTCAATTATTGTATTTTTGTCCTCCTTAATAATTCGTATTTTCTTTTCACCAATGAAGCAAAGTACCCTTTGGTTTTCAGCGATTGCTTCTAACTTCTAAGTGGATGAAAATCTATCTTCCTACTGTTTGAACTCCATTCAGGTTTGACCCTTTTGATTTCTGGTAATTAATAATGTGGTTTTGGCGTTTGGAAATTGACTAATTTCTACATCCGGTAGTATTAATTTCCTGAAAAAGAAAGCATGAAATGGACATTGTATCAGGATTTAACACAAAAGAATGATGGAAACTTTATGGTGTCTTTGATAGATTAAATACTGATCACATGATTGTACTGAAAGCATATATACATATATGTCTTCAAACAGAGATGAATAAATGGTTCCATCAGTTCTCAAACTCTTCATTTAGAAAAGAAAACTTTTCTGCAGGTTTTGGAACTGAAACTTGGTTCCTTTTTTAGACCTTCAAAATGGGTAGTCAAAAAACTCCATCAACACCTGCAAATGCAGTTGTTTCCCACTCTGATGAATACTTCCTTCAGCACAGCTTAGTCTTTGCTGAAAGTCTCAAGGTAGTTTTGCGGCCTTTGTGTTAGTTAATCTTCTTTAATTCTTTCCTTTCCACAGTCAGGATTTCGCTCTTTTCGAACTTGCAGGACTTGAAGAATCTAAGGATACAGTTATATTCAGCTGCAGACTACTTTGAATCCTCTTACAAGAAACATGAATATAAGCAACTGTAGGTAACACTTAATTTTCTTTCTGCCCATCTTTTCTTCAGTTAGTATAGCTGTTAAGGTTTGACAATGCTATTTTCTTGAACATGGCTAAAAAGGGTGGTGGAAACAATTAAAGATTTTGCCAATAAAGCTCTAATTAATACTGTGGATCACTTGGGGACCGTAGCATATAAAGTGGAGAGTTTCTTGGATGAAAAGGTCAATGAAATTTCTGCTGCAAGGCTTCAGTTTTCTGGCCTAGAACAGGTAGTCATTGCTTAGCAATTGGATGTTTTAACTGCTCTGAACAAGCATTTCTTTCTCATTACAAACAATTTGATATCTTCGTTTTGCCGTCATTTCTTCCCCAGAAATTGAGAACCTGCCAAGGATTCATCAACCGCAATGGCATTTTACAGCAGTCCTTGGTCATCAAAACACCCAAGTATTACAAGCATTACAAAATTCCAGGCAATCATATTATATCATCATCATCATCCCTTTAGACCGTTGTTTTCAGCTTTTTAAGCTGCCACTTTGGGAGTGAAATTTGACTGGGTTAATTCTGCACTTTTATTTCAGTTGAAGAAAGCAGATTTAGAGGCAATGTTGACTCAGTGCAGAAAGTATGCCTTGTGTGTCCAGAGGATGATAATAAGCACTTAACTAAGCCAGGTAGGTGATCCATACATCGGTATGCATTCATATTCAGAGAGCAAAAAACTTGTGTCTGTCAATTGGTATCTTTGGTGATTTGAGTATATTCATATTCATAACTGGATAAAGTACATGAACAAACCAACAATTGAGTACCTTTTCAATGACTTTCTTGCCGAAGCTATCCAAGAAGCAGTTTCAATGCCCTATCATGATCATCCACCATTGATGAGGTATGGCAGTGTCACTATTAAGATCAACTTATAGAGGTATGATTTACAGAGACGTGTACAAAGACGTGTTATGATGCTAATTACATTCAATTAATGCAGAAGAGCACTTGTTAAGCACCCTCATACAGAATCTTCTGCTACGCCGTATTCCTTTTCTTTTGTGAGGGTCACGCCAAATCAAGAGGCTGGTAAGTCTTCGCATTTAGGATTTTTAGTGCTTTAATCATTTCTAGTGCAGAATAGCATTGTGCTGAATAATGGTAGTAAAATATTTACTGATGGTACTCTAACTCAACTGGGATTATTAGGGAAACGATCAGTTTCGCCATTTCGCCGCCTTCTGAAGCGATCTGGATCCTTTGCAAACAGATCAACATCTCCAAATCCTTCTGCTACCAAACAACGGGTGAGATGAGAAATCCAAACTGCTTGCTTTCTGTGCTCTAGCAATGCGAATTATGCTCACACTAAACTCTAAAATAAGATATGACCGCGATTTCCAAACCTAATTTGTTGACCTTCGCAAGTTCTGCTTGATGACAGAGTCCTTCTGAGCCTCGAGCAGCTACTGCATTGGTCAAGTATCCAGAGACAAGCAGAGGAAAAGAAGTTGAAGTATACTCCAGAAAAACCAAACCGCTGCTTAAAGCATTGCTTACTATGCATAGGTCAAGAAAGCAAAGTGTGCCTTATAGATTCAGAGATGGCAAATGATAGAACAGAGAAGTCAGTTCAAATGTAGGATGCTTTGAACGTACTCATTTGTATAGAATTTTCTGTAACAATTTGGATCTTATGTCTTATTGTCTGTCAAATCATAATGCCATTGGCTTGCAATATATCTCAAAATATTGTTTCAGTACAGCAGTACTACCACTCCGAAGCAAGGAATTAAAATTTCCCTTTCATCCTATAAATTTCAGACTTATATAAGTCACAACCATCATCCACGGTTGCAATATCCACTACAAAAAAGTACAGTTAGCAGAGACAGCACCATTGTCGAACATGGTGGATCAGCACAAATATTGTGTTAATGTTTACACGTAGTTTGTCCATCTGAGCTTGAAATGAATCTCCCTTAAGTGATCTTTAGCCCACGTCAGGAATAAAAGTTGGTTTTAGACGATGCAGTAGATGGAAAGACACAGACATGGTTTTGCTCAAAATCCAAGATCAAAACTGGGAACATCATCTCTTTTCTTTGTCTCTAGATTTTGCTTAGAAATAATTCGAGAATCAGATTCCCCATTTGTTGCAGCTGCAATTACTTGATCTCCATTCAGCCATCTTCCACCAATTTCTTTGCTTGCTCCACGAGGCTAAACCAATGAACCAAAAAAAAAAAAAACACACACACAACGGTGCTTTAAAATGGGATATATCAACTTTGAAAATGGAAAATCAGAAGTAAACAAACACTTAAAACTAGAAATTAATCTTTTCCAATATGTCTCAATTGCCATTCTTTGCTAACAATAGAGTTCAAATTTGTTCATTACTTTGAACAGCTTGTTTTTGGATTGAAATTTTGTCTTCAGTCTTCACAGTTTACAACATTAAGGATGGCGGACTGGTTGTTAATAAACTAATCAAATTGAGTTAAGTCTTTCAAGATTGGGACTGGGAGGACAGAAATATCAATTACTCAAAAATCTTATAAAATGTCAAACAGCATCGAAAAGGCGAAAAGGTGAGATCAATGAACCTGGGAAGCATTTTGAAGTTCTTGTTTCATGGAAAATTGATGCATTTCCAAGCCTAACACTGGAGGTGCACCTTCAGTTGGCTTTTCTGTGCAGTAAGGTCAATTAGTGCACAACAGTAGTAGTCAGAGAAAACTAGTGATTGCATTAAAGTAAGTTAAAGACTTGCCTCTGCCTGAAACTAATCCAGCACGATTTCCACATTCCAGGTATTCGCTTGCCCGATCTAGCAAAACTGCAACATTTCTTGATTTTAAACCCTTCTCTAAGGTTGCCAAACTTTTAGGTTCCAAACCTGGACCTTCTTCACATTTCCTACCATTTGCAGCAAAATAAAAACAAGGAACAGGTTGCAACAATATTACTAGCTCCTGATATGGTACTGACAAAACAAATTTCCTGTATAACAAAGGACGAAAAAGTTATCACAGACAAAGCCAAGGATTTATTGATCAGACATTAATCAGTACGTCGGATTTTTACTTCTGGTATGCTTTTCTTTTTCTTTTCTATTCTTTTTCTTTTTTTGGTTTAACAGCATGCTTATGTCCATTGAGGAAAACTTCTCGATTAAAGAAAATTTTTGTATACTCACTTGACAAAGAAGCTAGAAGCAGGTTTGAATCCGGTCTTATCAGACTCGGCGATCTCATCAGAAAGTACTTGCTCCATATCTTTACATTTTGAAATTTCGTGGGTTTCCGGTTTCCTAGCCTTCTCTTCATCCGTGTCCATATGTTTACTTCCTGCATCATAGGCATCTTGCATATTTTCCTTCTGAAAGAAACTGGAAGATTGCGGAGCGTGCAACTCAGCATTGGAGAAATTCTCAGTTGTTGAAGAATCATTTTGACTCTTTGATTTTCTGAACAAGGACAAGATCTCGTGGGCTGCACAATGGAAATCTGAATTATTTGTCCACTCCACTAGAGAACGAGAAAATGTACTGAAGTAATCCTTGGGGAAACAAAGGAGGATCAAATCACCATGAAATGGACTTCCTGAATTACAAAGAAGCACTTTCACGAGAATTAAATGCTTACCAGGACGTACAAGCATTTTGCTTGCCCCAGGAGCACATATGTTAATCTGACTGATGGAGCTTGTAACATTTGACTTTGCATTCTTCAAGGGAACATCTTTTTGAGTTGTTCCTATAATTCCAGGGCAAAACACGAGAGAGGATATGGTTGCCATGTCAAAGAATCAAAAAAAGGGAGTTCAGGATGAAAAAGAAAGCACCACTGAGATGTGTAAAGATGACTTTAAATCCAATAATATTTATGAAAGATGCACACAAGCTCCAAATGAATCTGGATCTCACTAGATACAACAGTGTTGCATTCAGAAAGTTGAGAAAATTAAGAAATCAAGAGGTGGATGACATTAATGCTGAAAAGATTGTCCCTGAGTGCTCAGCTGAGCAACTTGGTCTTAATTTTAATCTAGATCAAATAGCCAGAGGTAGAATACCTGCAGGAAATTGGGTGTTCAGGTGTAACTGGTCTCTTGTTTCTTGCATTGTACCAATCACATGGTGAACTTTATCTTCAAAGTTGAGATCCATTGGAGCACATACGTTACTCCCGCTGATGGCGCTTTTGACATTTGACTTTATATACTTCAAGGGAACTTCTTTTTGACATTTTCCTATATGTCCAGGGGAAGACACAGGAGGTGTAATTATTGCCATATTAAAGCATAAAAAATAGGGAGCTAAAATGTTAACGAAAACACCAGTTAAGGTGTGACGATAACTTCAAACACAATAGCAATAATGAAAGATTGCACACAAACTCCAAATGAATCTGGATCTTACTAGATATTATAGTATTGCATTCAAAATATTTAAGTTGAGAAAAATAAGATTATCAAGAGGTATGTATCTGGATCTTCATGCTGAAAAATTTGTCCCTGAGTGTTCAGGAGAACAACTTGGTCCAAATCTCCACTTAGATCAAATAGGCAGTGGTGGAATACCTGCAGGAAATCGGGTGTTCGGGTGCAACTGGCCTCTTGATCCTTGTTTTTTACCAACCACATGGTGAACTTTTTCTTCAAATTTGAGTTCCACAGGAGCTTTATCATCTTGTTTTGGTTCTCCAATGTCCACCAAGTAACCTTCAAACTGTATTGAATCTCCAGACTTGATTATCTCATCTAATTTCAGAAACCGGGATGCTAAATGTCTCATAGTTTCATCGTACAGCAATATCTAACAGATAATTGGTGGTGAAGGGAAAGGAGAAAAGGTCAGAAGTCAGCCATGACCCATGAATTTCCATATGCATGCACATAAATATAGTAAGGCATGAATGTTTCCAGAAATGGATTGTGATCACCCTTGGGCTAACCTGTTTCCTTTGTGATCCACAACTGTGAAGCTGTAAGAACCCGTCATGATATTTCTTCGCCTTTTGAGTAATATGGGTTGTGTACAAGACCTGCCATTCTATATGGGACGTAGCAAAGAGGGGAAACGTTAAAATAACAAAAATACGTGAGAGATTCAAATTTAGCAGAATCAAAACAGAAGAAGACTACTCTGAGCTCAACAAAAAGTCCAGTTGATAAAAGCTATTTAGATTTGCTGTTTCAAACTAAAATAATGCAATGAAAAGCTGAGGTTGTCACTTTCTAAATGCAAATATTGGGAAAAAATAACTCAAACTCAAAAAGCAACAGTGCAGGCAAAGAACAACCTTTTTTGCTTGATTTCGTTGTTTCAGGACACCCTGGTGAAGATCCAAATTTAGTCATTTCATTCTTCTTATACTCTGAAAAGGGCAAAGTGCAGCAGCATTAGAATATTCCAAGACAAAAATGGCTCTTAATAGCATTGAGAATTCGGCATCTAATATGAACTCAATGAAATGAAAGAACCAACACAGTCATACTGAATCTATATGAAAAACTAGCATGTCCCAAAGTGAAGTCCTCAAATCCTACATGTTCTCAAAAGAGTCTTATCTTGCTAATAAACCAGAACAGATAAATGGACTCATTTTTTTACCTCTTATAAGTTTCCGTGAAGGGCTGATATTGATCGGTGTCGCTTTCGTCTGACCCAACTTAGAGCATATTTCTAGGGATGATCAGAGAATAATGCATCAGAAGCTCACGCAGACATTGAACAACACATATGAAAAACTTGAACTTGAAAAGAACAATACCGGTATCATTACTGGCTTTGGGGGTATGAAATGCTTCATGTTTCCTGTTAATGTATGAGTCCTTCTGGAATTGATAAACCTTGGATACAGGTTTCTTATCAACACCACCGCCAAAAAGCTCACCAATATCAACCAAAAACGAGGCGAACTCCAAAGTTTGACCGGGTGCAAAGGTATCGTCTTTCTTCACGAACCTACTCTCCAACGGTGTCTCACAATCATCATAGAGAATCACCTATTCACAAATTCAACAGTATGAGCCTCAAAAGCCTAGAATGTCTAGACTCTGAACAATTCAAAATCCGGACTAACCATCAACAAAACCCAATTTAAGTTATTTTCAGACATTCCAAACAAAAGAAAAACCTAATTAACGCATTTTCGAGCAATTGATGTATTATTTTTCCGAAAAGTACCAAATCGAAGTTGAACGAGCCATTAACATTACAAATCAGACGATTAATCCACTGAATGAATGCAAATTATTCACAATATTCGCACTTAATTGAAAAATTTTCAAAAATCTGTGAATAATTACTCAAGAACGAAGGATTTTGATACGGTGATCTTACTTTGTTTCTGGAAGGATGAAGCTCCAGAACGCCGTCTTGGTAGACCTTACGCTTCTGCTTGATGTGCTTGGTGTACGTCACGCTCCATTTCTCTATCGCCTCTCCCATTCTAGCTCCTCCGCAAACGAAATATCTGTTTTGGCGGGAAAATTGTGTCACTTGGGAGGTTTTTAATTTTTATACAGTGGCGGTGCTCTCTCAGTGTGGAAGACGCGTGAAGTGACAGCGTTTCATTTCGTTTATTGAGAACAAATTTTACTTTCCCTCTCCCTCCTCAAACAACTATTTTTCGGAAATAGATTTCTTTTATATACAAAAAAAAAAAAAAAAAAAAAACTGTGGTGCCGTGCCATAATAGCATGATTTCAGGGGGGCATTTGATATTGGGTCATAGCTCGGGGGTAAAATGTAGTTTGCCCCAAAAAAATGAGAGATTTTCCATACTAGCTATTAAGGTTCTTAGAAATAATTCATCTTGACAATTGAAAAAATAATTTAGTGAAAAGGACACCAAAATAATTTGCTAAAATAGTCTTTTAAAGAAAACGACCTGAGGTCGGTATGTAAAAAGTATCAAAATTATGTTTGAGAAAAGAGCCAGCTTCCATGTTAAAAATATTAGTATGTTCGGACCTAAATCATTGTCCCGTATACAAAAATTTTTATTTTTAATATAAAGACGTTCATCATTTTGGGATAGATGAAGTCTTCAGGAGATTGCGATGTAACAAATAAAGATTACAAAGGAAAGAACATAATGTTTTATAAGTAGAAAACTGGGTAACAGACGAGCTATTAACCCAAAAATGTAAGTACTATTAAACATGAATATACCTTTTTTTTTAAGCGTAAAATAATGTTGAGAAAGTAGATTATCATACGCTAGTAGGAGAAATACTGTTCATTTCGCAATGTTTCATTACTCTAAACAAGTACAAATAGTGTATTCTTATTTAGAGTTTACAGTAACCGAATAATTTGAAAATACATAATGGATTTTATTCCCCGTCACAAACACGATTATAGTCGTCTAGCTCTAGCAGCTGACATCTTCATAACTGAAGAGGCCATGAGTCCATATGACCCTTTTTTTCTGAAAAAAGAGGTCATGACCTCCAGCGTGCAGCAATAAATAACCCATTATTTCCCGAATTGCTTCATTCTTTCTTCTTCTTCTTATTTCATTCCATCAAGACAAGAAAATGGATGAGCCTTTGACTTCGCCGTTCCACCAGGCGGAGAATGATTATTCCTTAGTACTCGAACTCGATATCATGGAATCGTCTTGGTCGACCTTTGATCAGATTTCCACAGATGCGGATTTTGACTCATGCCTGTTCTCCACGTTTGATCAGCAACCTATATCTCCTCTCCGGGCTTTCTCCGATGATGTTAATGGAAATGCTTCAGCTGGGAATTCTATTTCTACTCCTGTGGAGTTCTTTTTGGCTGATTTCTTAAGAAAACTCAGTGGTAAGATTTAGATTGATAGACTTTTTCCATTGAAATAATTTCGTCGTTATGAGGGGTTAGGATTGAAAATGAAAATGAGAACTGCAATAGTTGGTTGGGGCAAGTTTTAGAACAATCTATAATTTCCCTACTGTTTTAGTAGTACTATAGCTTTGACATCTCGTGTGTTTAGTTGCAAATGAGGGGCATGGTTGCGTACACAAGTACGCTTTACTCTTCGTTTCGTTATTTAAGTTTAATAGACATTTCGGAAGGAACTAGTAGTACTCCCTCTTTCCCAAAATTATTGTACAGTTTGAATTTTTAGTTTTAATATGAAAATTCAAACTTGACAATAATTTCGGGACGGAGAGAGTTTTATTTAGAAGTGTATTTTGGACTAGGCCTTTTGTATTTTAGTTTATCAGATCGTCTTGAAGGTGCTTGATTAATTGTGGTTTGTAATTTAGAAGTTGCAATCTATAATGACCGAAATGCGAATATGTACAACGAAGTTAAAAAAGAGGTCTTAATCTACTGATGGATACTCAGGTGATTCAAATTCGATAAATGAATTTCCAACCGAGAATGAAGAGGAAAGAAAGCTGCCTGCCCCAACCGCTTCTTCGCAGGTGGACAGGGATTCTTCTATGCTGATGGATCTTGATCTGGACTCTTCTTGGTCTTTTGAGCAGATTTTCTCTTCTTCTGCTGCCCCAACCGCTTCTGAGCAGCTGCCTTATTCTCCTCTCTGGGCTTTCTCAGATGATGCTAATGGTGATACTGTTACTGGTAATGGGAGTTCTTGTGCTGTTGAGTTTAGGCTTGCTGATTTCCCCAGAAAGCTCAATTGTAAGCTCCAAGTTTGAATCTTTGAGAATCTTTTTTGGATTTTGAGTATGGGTTCAGAAGTCTAAAAATCTCACCAGTGTCTAATTTATCGGCTCTTTGTTTCTTTTGGTATGTGTTTTGTGTTTAATTGCAAAGCCCCAGGAAGACAGAAACAAAAAGCTTGGAGCTTTTATTGTTATAACAGCTTTTTGAAGTGGCATTTTTTTGTTGAAGAATGGTTATATTCTGATAAAATGAGGAAAGGAAAAAGGAGTATTGCTTTAGGGTTTAATTTCATGAATGAATTGTGGATTTTGCTCATGTTGTTGCAGATACTACTGGTTAGTTCTGAGAACTCAATCTTCATTGTTTTTCCCTGTTGACCTTGGCATTTTTTCAACGAGAGTGATATTAACTCTTTGCTTTCCCATATTTGATTCATTTGTTTTTTACCTTATCAATTTGATTTGCATTGATTGGTTTAGTTGGATGAATGATAAAATTTCAACGTTACCTTCATAAGAACTGTGGTTGTTGCTGTTGACTCAGTAATTTTGAATGTTATATGCAGGTGATACTAATTTGATAACTGAAAATCCAACTGAGAATGATGAGGATAGAAAGCCGTCAGTGCCAACCTTAGAATTGGCTCCATTGGATTGTCCGGATGTTTCTTTCATAATAAAGGAGAGGATGACACAGGCACTTAGATTCTTCAAAGATTCCACTGAACATCATGTCCTGGCTCAAGTTTGGGCGCCTGTAAAGACCGGTGGTCGTTATGTGCTCACAACTTCAGGGCAACCATTTGTTCTAGACCCCAAGAGTAAAGGCCTTTATCAGTACAGGATGGCTTCTCTGATGTATAATTGTTCAACTGACGGGGAGACTGACGATGTGCTCGACTTACCTGGTCGTGTTTTCCGGCAAAAGCTTCCTGAGTGGTCACCGGATGTGCAGTATTATTCCAGCAAAGAATTTTCACGTCTGAATCACGCCCTACATTACAATGTTCGAGGAACTTTGGCGTTGCCTGTATTTGACCCTTCTGTGCAAACCTGTGTTTGTGTGGTTGAGCTCATAATGACTTGCCAGAAGATTAATTATGCTCCTGAGGTTGATAAAATATGCAAAGCACTTGAGGTTAGTTTTGGTGAACCCTAATAGTTCAGAGATCCATTGCTTTGAGACTGTGATTTGCCGAAAATAGAATGTTTATTGCACTTTTTTGCATCACTTGTTTCCAGAAACACTAAAAACACATTTTAAAGAATCTTGCTTCCTTTCTGCAGAATGAGGGCACCATAACTTGTGAACAATAAAAAGTATGGTCTTAAATTAAAAGAAAGAACCAATTGAAGTGCACTATGGAAAAATTTTGAGATCATTTGGTTTAGAGTTTGATTAAGTTAATTATTGATCCTTAGGACCCAACTTAAGAATCCAAGGACATTTTTTTTTTTACAGGCTGTCAATTTGAAAAGTTCTGAGATATTGGATCATCCAAACATACAGGTAAGGGTACTTGTACGGCAAAGATCTTAGCAACAAACATCAAATCTGTTTTCGTTTGTGTATCAACTTCTCGTCTATTTTGAAAACCAGATTAGCAATGAAGGTCGACAAAATGCTCTGGCTGATATCCTAGAAATACTAACGGTGGTGTGTGAAAATCACAAATTACCTTTAGCTCAGACATGGGTGCCTTGCCGGCACCGAAGCGTACTTGTCAATGGTGGTGGGTTTAGGAAGAGCTGCAGTAGTTTTGATGGAAGTTGCATGGGACAAATCTGTATGTCCACAACTGATGTAGCTTTTTATGTGGTTGATGCTCATCAATGGGGTTTCCGGGAGGCTTGTGCGGAGCACCACTTGCAGAAGGGTCAGGGTGTTGTTGGGAGGGCATTTGCTGGGCGGAACTCATGCTTCTGTGAAGATGTTACCCAATTTTGCAAAACCGAGTACCCCTTGGTGCATTATGCACGATTGTTTGGTTTGACTTGTTGTTTTGCCATCTGCTTGCAAAGCACTCACACTGGTGATGATGATTACGTTCTTGAGTTTTTCCTACCGCCTAACATTAAAGATCATAGAGACCAAATGGCTTTGTTGGATTCGCTCTTAGCGACGATGAAATCTCATATGCGGAGTCTGAGGGTTGCGTCGGGACATCTTGAACATGAGTTAAGATCTACTGAAATTGTCAACATATTGGTGAATGAGAAGCTTGATTTGAACTCTCAACTATTTGAAACACCAAAACCAGTCGCAACTAGCCTGCATACAACAACTGGAGATTTGGTGCAAATTAATTCAATTGCAGGGCCGCAATCAACCTTTGGAGTCCTTTCTACAAAGGATGCAAAAAGTAGATGTGATGCAGGTAGCCTCCAGAATGCCGCATCTACTGCTGTGAACAAAAGCCCAGGCAAGAAACCTCAAAGAAAGCACTGGAAGCCACAGAGAACAATTAGCTTAGAGGTTCTGCAACAATATTTTGGTATGAGTCTTAAGGATGCTGCGGAGAGTCTTGCGGGTAAACTTTCTCGTTTCTGAATGAATGCTATGGGCGCCATTCTACTGATTCTTCACAAACACAATGTAAATGCTTAATCCATGTGACTTTTTGCAGTTTCCCCATCTACATTGAAGCGAATATGCCGGAATCATGACATCTCGAGGTGGCCATCTCGCAAGATGAGCAGACCCGAACAATCAAAGCTCGGGCGCGTGCTTGAATCAATGCCAATTGCAGGTGGGACATTTGAATTAAATTCGGAGATTTATCTTCCCTTCTTGTTTCTATTGGTGTCATTTTGTCACTG